TGAGTTTTATATTTATAATTATTAATATCAATTTAATATAAAACATCATGTTTTAGTTAATAATTGTTACTCTTAAAATATATCTAGTCATATTTAAGAAACTAAAAACTAAAAATGAATAAGCATGATACTTGAGTGACTAAAATTAACACACGAAATTTTAAATATCATTTTTGTGTAAAGGAACACTATAATATCAAATTTGGTGTCATACTATTTATTTTCACCAAAATGGTGTTAAAACTGAGATTTGGTTATTATAATACCGTTTATTGTATTTTATATATGTAAAACGCGTTTTCTAAACATAAATGTAATTGTTCAATTTCTAAGCTATAAAGACAATTACATTTAGCGTGACCATATTTGTACATTTACTACTAGCTAGATATAACTATCTACCTTAATAGCTAAGAAAACAAATCATTTTGGGATTATTCTTAGCCCTAATTAATTGTTGATGTATGATTCCATGTGTAATTTTATTAATACTCAAATCAATCAAGGAGAAGAATGCAAGTAATTCTCATATTTACACACACACATTATAGACTTGTAGCCTGGATCTTAATGTTTGTACATATATATATTTCTATTTCCTACAAACATCTTATCTAAACATAAATATTTGGTGGAGATTTTACGAGCTTTGATCAGAATGTCACATGCACATCCCGTACATGTCCAGTCTTGTTTGCTTAATGCCCACAATAATTGATACTTTGTTAAATCCTATTATTTTGAATTGAAACTTTTATGCAAGTCAAATATTCTCTTTATTTCCACTCAGAAATCGTTATAGGCTAAATCTTTTTACTGTTTCTAGTACATGAGGCCACTTTTAATTTGTAGAGAGCAAAAAGTTTATCGATTCGATTGTATATGTCCATGGATGAGAGCCACAAAACACCATTTGAGGTGGCAACATTCACATCCACTCACCGGTGATTTTATGTAGTTGGTATTTACATGACACCAAAAGGGTTTTGAACTAAGATTAATACATGTTAGTATGTACACTTGTATATGATACTGTGTCTTGAAACCTAAACAAAAATGGAAGGTTGCTACGTGTAGTGATGTTGTAAAAATGTGTATCGAAATTAGGGCCCATATTTGTGGGTGAGATCAACAAAAATTTGCAATTTTTGTTTTGATATATCAGTCTTAGTTTAATCATTTATTGTTCTAATTAGTCTACATCCATAATAGGGAAGTTTTTAACCGGGTTTTTTGATGACACGTAAGTGTAACTTAACAAATGAAAAAGTTTAAGGTATGTCCACTATAGTAAAGCTTTTTTCATAAAGCTTATTTATGGGACGCTAAAATAAAAATGCTATGGAAATGAATTTTATATTATTAGATTTGAGAACAA